ACCGTGATCTAATCTGACAAGGCCTGTTTTAGGTTACAATGTGTTGGTGTGATGGGACATAAGCATGAGCATTGACCTTTGGGACTAAAAACAGCGCCCATCCCACTTTTGCCACTAATGACTCTGACTGTGTCCCTTCAAGTTAAGACACACAGGCAATTTTTTCCGTTCAAGGGAATTAAAGAGTACGTTTTGCCAAGCTCTACAAGAAGACAAGGTAACGTTGCAATACTATTATAAGGTTAAAAAAACCCAGGGCTGAATCAAGGTGAAATAAGCACAGTGAGCGTGGTTTATCCACTTCTAAACTCTGTGGTTTAGAGTTCACTCACTCTTACCAAATGGCCTGGAGCAGCAAACACAGGTGAGTCTATACTGCTCTGCTATTTCTTAAAACAGCATTGCACTTCCTTTCCTAGTGCAAATGGAAGGAGACAACGTTACATTGATTTAACCAGCACAGCATCAAGCTTTTTAAAGCTGCTGTATCTCAGCACTGGTAAGAATATATTTATTACCCCTCAGGTGTATTTACGATTAGTGAAGACACCAGTGGAGTGCAACTTATAACACAGCACCACGAGCTGCTGTTCGAAACACCACAAGAGCAACCTTCTAAAAGCAATATCATTCTTCAAGATTGATGATTCTATTCCAGCTGCAGAGAAGTCCCAATGCCCTGATACGGCAAATTATCCCTGCATACAAGGCTCTGAAGTGTTTTTTAAAAGGAGCACACAAACCTCAGGAAGAGGGAACCACAGGCAGGTTATGGAGCCTGTGGATCATCTCCCAGCTGAGCCATGGGGGACTGAAGAGTCAGAATTTGAGAAAAAATGTCCTGCCACCTCAATCTGATTCTGCCTTAAAAGGACAGGAAAGATTAGAGCCGCTGTGAAGCCAGGGGTTCCCTGGCGAGCAAAGGGGAGGAGAAACTTCTTAAACTGAAGCAGTGTTTGACTCTGAAAGGAGAAATCCTCATGTACCATCTACTGGGGAGCAATATTGCATAAAAAAGGCTTGGTAAATCAGCTGGAGAGAAGTTTAACCACTTAAAATGTTCTCCCTTCCTCTCATCTTCCTCTGTTTTTCCCTAACAGGTGGTGAAGTCACTTGCAATGACTGCTACGGAGTAACACAAAAATACACGGGATGTGCTCCACATCTCCCAGGCTAAATCAGCCATGTAGTGCTGTAACATGGGAATGTGAGTTCTGGCAATGCCTTCAGGCCTCTACTAATGCCTGCAGTTGCACAGTCCTGCTCCCCTGGTTATGTGAAGTGCCTTGAACTTCACCCCTGATAAGATGAGAAGAGGGTGCATATACCTGGAGAGAAGCTAACTCAAGGCTCAGGGAAAAAATAACCCTATCCTGATACTATGGGGTACATCCCAAAAGAAGATGACTCCTATAGTTCTGTAAGTATGAATAATAGCTTATGCAGCAATAAAGTATCAGAGAAAAGTCTTATTCCTTATAAGGATAACAGAGATGTCTGTTCCACGAGCCATATAAACTTTCTCATGGCACAGAATATGTAACTAGGAATTTAAAGAGTCACTGGATGGACACAATACAATAGAGAATGGTTCTCCACATCTTGAAGTAGCTGACAACCATAGGGGTGAACCAGCCACGAAGAAAAACCTGCTTTGCTTAAAGAATTTGAAATTGATGACAGAGTCAACAGATTTTCAACTTGTTTGCTACCATGCAATAAACGAAATGCCCAGTCCAAGCACCAGGAGGCTAAATGCCAGGCAGCTGCCCACATCTGTGCTTCCTGTGGAGTAAACTGAGACATGCAAGACCCCCTTCAGACTCCAAACTGCCCCTCTTGCTCACATATGGAAGTTAACCTCACAAAATCACTCTTTCTTTTTTTCTTTCTTAGGGAATCTTAGGGCACTAGACGAGGCTAGGGGAGAAAGGAAAAGCAGCTGTTACTGGGAAACTAAATTTTTTACATTTCCTCACATTGTTTGGTATTGGTTGCAAAGGTATTGCTAAACTGACAGCAGTGTCCTTATCTAAAATTTGTGCTAACACTTTTTCACTGTGTAGCCCAATTCTGAGGCATTTGGAGCATTTACTGAGCTTGATGAACACTGGAATATGCACAGCACTGAAAATTGCTGAAACTGTGGCCTTTGTTGGAGGACTTGCTGCCAGCATGCACTGAACAGACCTGCCCCAGTTATGTGTGGAAAAACTAACATTTTGTATTTGTTCAGGATCTCTTTCCCCTGGGCACAAATGCTGCCTCCTTACAGGTTAGTACACATTTTTTAGGAAACCACAGAGGTTGTTGCTGGAGATCACTGAAGTATCCCCTGCAAGGGGGCTCAGCACAGGGTTTTAGCTCTGCAGCCTGTGTCTGCACTGGGCTGATGCAGCCCACACCAGCTATGGCTCTGGACACTCCATGCCCTACCCTTGGGCCAAGCTTTCCTGCAGAACCACGGAGACTACAAGCAGTTTTCCACAAGCACAAATCCACGGGACTGCCGGAGCCAGGATTTTAGCTACGAGCCTGTGATTCCACAGCAGGTTCCCTTTACAGGTGGCAGTAGACACAGGCTCCCACAGAAGAACAACCTTCAAAAACTTACCACAATGAGTGCAACGACAGACAGGGTGTAGTAGATTGAATCTCTCAGGAGACTCCACGACGACAGTGCAACAACCTGGGGAAAGAGGCAAAGAGAGGATGTCAGCCAGGCTCTCACCAGCACCACTGCCACGACAGCAGCGTGTGCCACAGGCCAGCCTGACCCTCGGGGTGAGCTGGACTCCAGGAGGAGAGCCAGGACAGGCAGCACCTTCTGGGGCTCCTGGAACAGCTGAGGGACACGGGCATGGCCAAGTCTGAAGCTCCTGCAGACTCGGCTGTCCCCAGGTCAGGCTGTGTGTTCCCAGGGCAGCCTGCCTCCAAGGAGTCCGCCAGGGCAGCAGGAAGGGGCTCAGCTTTACCAGCACAAACACACGGATCGGTATCACTACAGCTCTGGGTGCATCTCCACAGGTTTTGGGACAAATACTCACATTAACACTCCAGCAAAGTGACACAAACAAAACTGAGTAATTTATATGCAGTGGAGAATAAAATGGCATTGCTATGCAGTTCATGTCACTTGACACTTCCCAAAGCCACAGAAATGAGGAGGAATTGTCACTGCAGGCTGAACAAGCTCACAATTCAGAACTTAGAAGAAAAAATACCAGCGAGTAAATTAGTCTTTAACTTCATAAATAGTATTCAAAAGGACAGATTGAAGCAGTTATGTGGTGGTAACATCTTCAGTATGAGTCTATCTCTTGAATCTAGGAAGTCCCCTCATGTAGAAGCTTCTCCTCAAATCTCTATTTCCCATTTCTGGAGTGCATTTCAAACGCTGTGGGTCACATCCTTCACAGGTGTAAAGCTGATGGGGGTAGATGGGAGATGCTTCATTTACACTGACTCAGACCTGAACATATAAATGAATTTTCTGACCGTATCCTCCACTCATGCTTATGCACGAATTCAGTCAAATGAACAGTAACTTTATTTTCTTTTCTATGGTAGCTGAAGAAAGGTTCTATTTCAGAGTGTTAGCAAAACCGGTTCCCAAATTTCTCTTTATATTAACTCTTACAATATTGGAATTTTCCAGAACTGCTAGCAAAACAAATGCTGTAAAAAGATACTGACCATTATACTTCAAAAATCTCTGCAGCCTCTTAATACTATGGCTTTTTTATGTGGATGTAATTTATGCCCAGTGTAAAGTCTCTTTATGCAACCACTGCCATGTTAGAAACTCCAATCTGAAATAAAAAAGCAGGCCTTTAAAGCCCTTGAGTCAGATGAGATTTATACCAGCTGACAATACATTTCAAGGCACACAGAGATAGATGAACGGACAATGCCTTCTGATGAAAATTTCCAAATGCAGAAACATAGAGATGGGGTCATAATTCTATTCAGAGATTCTTAATTAAATCTCACATTTATAGGCCGTGTGCCCCTTCATCCTGACTGAGCAATTTTTGTGTGAGCGTTTATAAAATACTTTGACATTATTCCACTGGGTTTTCAGGATGCTGCTTAAGGTCCTCTGCACTTTGCTCAGCATGGATGCTGAAATTCAAACCCCAGACAAGTGCCCATCAGCTGTCTCTTGACCACTCAGTGGGGACTGAACTCAGCAGCCCTGAGCTGAAAAGAACAGCTCTGAAGTCCAGGCTTAAATGAGAGCATCCCCCCAATGAGCCCCTGAGACTGACAGTGCCTGCTCCCCTGCACACCACAGCATCACCTGTGGGGTTAAAATGACCCATGTCAGATACCAGGTTTCTGCTTGGTAAACTTTCACCCTGCAACCTCTTACATGCAACATTTACTACTCAGAATGCTTATTTCCCTTTTTAAATGGCTGGAGAGCAGAAAAAATCAAGATTTTATCAGTTCTAGCTTGATTTCTGTCATTTGTAACTCCTGAAGCTGTGACCCCACCCAGCACACACGATCTCCGCCACCTAGCACACACACGGAGTTCAGCCACCAGAGAGAAAATCCCAAAAATCAGGCACCTGCTGCCCTTAGCACTGAAGTGCAAAACACTCAGTAGCAACATACACCATGCCCCATCCTATACTCCTGGCCCACCTTAGGGCTTCACCATTTATCCTCTGTAACACTGACCCCTCTCTCTTCTGCTCTTCCACATTATTTCTCTCACCTTAGCAGCGTGGCAGCTCTTCTCCCATGCAGGAGATGCTCCTCCCAGAGGCCATCCAGCTGGCTGTTGTCCAGCCTGCTCTGCCCCCAGACAAAGCCCATGTCACAGAACAGGGCTGCTGCTCCCCGGGCCAGGATGTTTGTGCTCCCGCTGCAGAGTCCAGAGGGGTGTGCACTCCTGGGTATTCTCTCTGCTCAACTTCGAGGGCAAGTATGTTCAACATCACCTAATCACCTCCGTGTTCTTCAGGGATCTTTTTCACTCTGAATTGCTTTAGGGTTTTCCTCATCTCATGGCCCATTCTTTGCTTGACATTCTCAGGCTCTGATCAGCTGCAAACACTGCTGGGAAATGCTAGGCTTTGGAAGCAGTCTCCCTAATCTTGTTTCTCTGTTACCCTCTGGCACAGAAGGTCTAGATTTTTAGGTATTAAGAGCTAATAACTTAATTGCTTAATGTGGAGAGGCAGGAATGCTTGGACGAGGGTGTCAAAAGATTAAAGGCAATCCCTGCAGCGATTAGCCTGAAGAGTCTATGGAGGTCAGCAGAGATGTGCCAGCAGTGAATCCACCACTGGCCAAAGGCATCCAGCAGCAGAGAATCTGGGTCAGACTTCATGCTCCTCTTTGACGGGGACTGCACAGAAGCGATTCAGGAAGCTCTTCCCCACCCTAGCAGAGGCTTTTGAATGCTTGTCTGTGCTGACTGACAAAACTCCTGCTCACTGAGACCCCTTGCAAGCCCCTGAGCCACAACCACCAGCTGTGAGGGGCTGTCAGCCCCTTCCGTCAGCCGCAGTGAGACACGCAGCGGGAACCTCCTCGCACGCTGCTCCTGGTTTGCAGGGGCTACCCTTGAGCTGAGGGGGAGCTCTTACAGCCTGCTGGGGTCCCCTCCAGAAGGGGCTGTGCTCCTGACACTGCTGTTCAGCAAATCCTTGACACAACTTCAAATCAACCCCATGGTAACACAACAGGATCTCCTGCCAAAGCAAGACAGACGACTAACTGCTGGCCACTGTTACAGGAAGCAGTGAACTCGGGTGGAGGTCAGGGACAGATTTTCAGGGAAGCAGACTGGCCATAGTTTGGAGTTAATACATGTCTTATGCCTTTGGAATTATAGAAAAATAAAATGGGTTCTACCTCAGGTACCAGCTCTCGTCTCTGATGAGGACAGGAAGACAAAACCCAGCAGCACTCTACTTCCTCGTGGTTTGCAGAATTCAGTCCCCAGCAAAGCCCTGGTTTTACCTCACAGCAACCAAACCCAAGCACTTCTGCAGATGCAACACGTGCACAGCTCCCAGATGCTGCAGTGGTACCGCTCAGCACTGTGTGCATCTTGCTCCCTCTTCTGCCCAAACACAGCCCCAGGAACAACCCAACCAGGATTTGCTCAAAGAGAGCCTGCTGGGCTCACACTGCCTACCATCTCTCCAGAGGGTCCAGAGTTTCAAGACATTCTTACCTACAGACCACTGTGAAATCTTCACCTATTGACAGCATTTATTGTTGGCATTAACTGCGTTGGTAATAACAGTGACGTTAGTTGAGGTTTAATTTTACTTGCTCTGCATGAATGTAAGTGGCAGATGTCTTAGCAATAAACATCATTATTGGATCTTAATGACCTTATGCAAATCCAACCAATCATCCTGAAATCACAGCTGCTCAGCCAAGCCAAGCAGAAAATTAAAATATCCTCCATGAGATGACCAAGACACTTTCTCCACCAGCTATCTGAGAGAGAGGGAAATTACTTGAGTGGACAGAGAAAAACCTGCCTACAAGGATGGACCCTAGTATGCCAGACATTGCTGTTAAAGATAGATCTGTAGTTTACTTGCAAAATTGCAGTTACAAGCACTTTGTCATCTGTGTCAGTGCTAGAAAGAAATACGAAGAAAATCTACTTCACTATGCTCAGGTAAAATTTAATAGGTTCCATTGTCTTTTACTCACTTAAATCCAGCCTAAGGTTCATTCAAATCTGAAGTCACAGCAATTCAGGAGATACATATGTGAACGAGACAGGAAAAAAGGGATTCTTGCAATTCCTACAAACGGTGGCACTTAAAAATCACTGAGCTTTTTTTTTCGGAACACAAACCTCTGGAGCAGTTCCTTGAAGCCCTTCCACTTCCCAAAGACTGACAGCAGCCAGCCAGGCTGCTGGTCACCCAGGGATGGTGTCCTTCAGACAGACAGAGCTCTGGCACCTCCCTGGGCATGCACATCTCACGAGGTGAACGCCGACGGTGCCCAACCTCTCCCACCTGATGAGCCGCCGAGCTTCCTCGGGTGGAAGCACAGGACCACAGCACGCCCTGGCTCTCACCTTGCCCCACTCCTCAGGCCCTGTGTGTGTCTGTGTGCCCGTGTGTGTGCAGCTGATGAGCTGCTCCCCCACGCCAGCCATGGCAGCCCAGTCTCTGTGCCTCTGGACACCGGTCCAGGCCCACAGGCAGTGCTGGGGCCACGCTCAGCTCACACGCCCGGGGACAGCTCGAGAGCGGGCTCAGAGCCAGTTGGAGCGCTGGGCTGGTGGCCACAGCAGGCTGCTCGGACAGCCCACACCTCAAGGGACCTGCTCCTGTCCCACGGCCAGTGCACCGAGCTGGAACACCCCACATAAAACAGGTTCAAACCAGAGAGGTTAACGAGACCCCCTCGGATTTTCTGATGCTCTGGCACTTGTCATTCTGTATGGAAAAGCAAGAAAGACCAAATTCTTTCTGTCTGTCTTGACAGCAGCCTCGGAAATCCTGATTCCTGAGAAGCCAAATATCCCTGGCTGCCTTTGGAGAACCTGTTGAGGACCTCACACTCCAGGACAGCCCTGACAGAGACTGATCTCTCAGGGCTTCTCTGTTTCCCTTGGCAGGGGCACAGGCTCTGCTTTTAAAATTTGCCATTGATTATTTTAAGAATTCCTTGTTTGGCTCAGGTAACTCTAAGGAT